TGTAAAATGGTTAAACTGGTTAAAATTGTTAAAATTATTAATTCTTGCATAATTGCTTTGTGTGATCAGTTCTTTTGCCTTATTGGTGCTGATTTGTGCATCAGGATAAGGGGCTGGCCTTGCTGCACCCCCCAGGCAGAGGCTGATTCATACCAGCTTTGCTTTAAGGTACTGCAGCAGGGCCAGATGAAGAAAGTAGGAAGCTGTTGAGATCTGGCTTGGCAGCCCCAAAAAGGCAACTTTGTCCTGGGTCACAGCAGGAGAAGTGTGGCCAGGAGGTCAAGGGAGGTGATTCTGCCCCTCTGCTCTGCTCTGGTGAGACCCCAGCTGCAGTGGTGTGTTCAGCTCTGGTCCCAGCACACAAAGGACATGAACCAGTTGGAGTGAGTCCAGAGGAGGGCAATGAAGTTGATCAGAGAGCTGGAGCACCTCTCCTATGAGGACAGGCTGAGAGAGTTGGGGCTGCTCAGCCTGGAAAAGAAGAGGCTCTGAGGAGACCTTAGAGCCCTTCCAGTACAGAAAACTGCAGGACTTCTCACAAGGGCGTGTAGTGCTGGGACAAGGGAGGATGACCTTAAGCTTAGGAAGGGTAGGTTTAAATTTGATATTAGGAAGAAATTCTTTGCTATAAGGGTGGTGAGGCACTGGAACAGGATACCCAGGAAAGCTGTGGATGATGTGTGCCTGGAAGTGTTCAAGGCCAGGTAAAATGGGTCTTTTAGTAATGTGATCTAGAGGGACATGTTCCTGCACCCACATCAAGGGTGTTGGAACTGGGTGATTTTTAAGGTTTCTTCCAATCCAAATCATCCTATGATAGTACAGCCCCATCTGATGCTGCAGCTGAAATGGTGTGAGGAACAGGGATCATTCAGCTGGCAGCATTGATGGCTTCGTGTCCTGCTGCCACAGCACAGTCCCAGTCTGCATGCATGGCAGGCCCCCTGAAGGCACATGGAATCAAGGTGGGCATCCTTATCCTCACCCTTCTTCCCTGCCTGCACTTTGTCTTGCAGTTCTGGAGATGAGTGTTTCATTCCACCATGCAGCCTCCCTCTAGCCTGTGTGATCCTCACTCCTTTTCCTAAGCAGGGCTGTGCAAACAGGACCATTTCTTGCCTTTTTCCTGCCTTGTCTGTCCCAGGTAGGTATTACAGGTCAGAGGCTGCCTCGCTGTGTAATTGCAGAGCGTTCAGCGGTAAGAGGGGTCAAGGTATCTGCAGTGCTCTTGATTGGTACTGAGAACAAAGTGGCTTCTTTCAAAATGGTTTTGCAGAGACATTTCTAGGAAGGTGCATTTGTGGGATGGTGTATTCTCTAAAAGAGAATTTTTCTGTGTCCCTCAGGTGTGTGTGTAGTGCTCCATTTGCTGTGGAGTTGGATATAGCTCCATTCCTCACCAGTTTCCATTTGTTAGGGAACCTCTGGAATCACAGGATGAATGCTGATCCCACTTGATTTAATCAGGAGCTGCTCCAGCAGCTGTTTTGTGCAGGAAACCTTTCAAGAGAGAAGCTAACTTCTGAGGCTTAGCCAGTGAAAACAAGTGTGAGTTGCTACAAATGGGCACAGCACCACAGAAGTTAGTGCTGTTTCTCACAATTAGAATTGGATCTTTGCATCTTCTTTCTGCAGTGCACCCTCAAATATTGTTGCTGGAATCAGGATATATCAATGTGTGTATATATATATATACACAGTCATAGTGGGACTGCTCTATGCCAATGAGCAGTCATGCCATTTTTTTCAGGCTATCTCCAGTTTAGACTGACACACAGGTAGTTGCATGCTGATGTTAATAGCAAGTAGGCTCTGAATAGCCAGTAGAACTTAAAGCAGTAGAAGGAGCACAGAATGTTGTGGGGAACTGTTGGATGCAAATAAAATTATAGCAACAATAATGTGGGTGTTCCCCTCTAGTTAATGGATGTGTGTGGACACGTTGCCCCATCTGCTGGGCTCTGCTGCAGAAGTGCCACTGCAGCAAAGGTTGCTGTTGTCACAGGGAGAAGAGCATGGTCACAGCTGAGGGAGAGGAGGCTCACAAAGGTGTGTGTGTGAAGGGTGCCCTGCACATTATACCCAGCAGAGCCTGGCTACCTTGGGAGTAAAACACCCCAAAATATAGAAATAGCAGCATGGCACAGGGAGGGAAGCTGTGGAAAGCACAGTTTCTGTCCTTGGTGTTTTACGTACTAAGGACACTTTGCTGCATTCTGTGGTGTTCCTGCCACCTCTGTTCTGAGTGATGGGTCACGGCAGTACTTCTGAGCCCTCGGAGTCGTGCTGGGTGGCTTTGCCCTGGCAGCCAGGAGGAGTCCTTGCCTTGGGAGGGAGGCACAGCCTGGGATCTCACCTTGCACAGCCGCTCCTGTGCTCTGGGTGTAGCTGTTCATTACCAGCAGGTATGTGCTGTGTCTGGAGTTCAGAGCTTGCAGCACCCCAGGGTACAGCACTGGGAGCCATAGCAGCACCTGTTTGCTGTGACAGTGTCCCTGAAGCCAGGCCAACTCTGAGACAAAATCTCCAGGTACAGCTCTTACAGTAAAACAATAACAATCTGCTCTTCCCAAGCCAAGAAGGCAAGGCCTGGGCATTGTTTTAGAGAAATGTAGGAAGAAAAAAAAAAGAAAACAGTTGTATTTATTTTCAATAACTCATTCAGGTTGAACGGGTAAGTAGTTTTACAGTGCTGATTTAAGGGCTGTTGGAAAATGCAAGAGCTGCTCATGATTGCAAATTTCATTGATCTTGACTCCAAGAATTTCAGTACAGTAATGTTTTATATAGTTTCTTCTCTCCCCAGTCCTGCCATTTGAAGTAATAAGGATGATTTGCCTTTATGCAGCCCAAGAGGAGACTCAAGTTCAGGTGCTGGGAAGAGACCCTGGGCGTCCTGATTTACAGACCCAGGTCTGCTCCTTTCAGAGGGGAAGCCTTTCTTTACAGAAAAAAATGTCCTATCTCCATGAGTAACAGTCCGTGCTTTATCATGCAGTTAGCAGGCTCATTTGTCTCATTACCACTCTAAGGACACTTGACTATGCCTATTCATGGCCCCACCAGCATAGTGCTGGTTCCAGTTCACCCTGATCATGGTGGTGATGGGTCATTATGCTCCTTCCCATGGTGTGAGGCTTCCAACAGTGGTTTGGTCTTTGAAAATGAGTCTCAGCACTGCTGTGGTAGCAGCCATAGTGTGTGATGCTGTGCACTTTTGAAAGATCTGTATGTTTTTAGATAATGAGCACTCTCTAGGTGTTTGGGTTTGGGACTCCTATGAACAAATGCTTGTGTTCTGGGTAGCTTCACTGCCTTTTCCTAGCCCAATTAGTTCTCTTCCTCCAGAAGTAGCACTCTGTCATATGGGTGTTTGGCATACTGCAGGAGGAGCAGTGCAGCTTGCATTTACATTTATGTGTAAACCCGCCAGAAAACATTTCTATTCTTACTGGCCCAGATTCCTCCTGCCCATGACTAACCATTGCTGAGCCATAGGAGTTAGCATCACTGCCTTTAAGTGCTGCAGGCCTGTCTTCTCAAAGGATTATATCTGACTTTTTTAATTAAGTAAGAATTTGGGGGCAAGCTACATTTCACTGTCTATTTAGGGAAGAATAAATGCCAGAAATCCCGCTTTGGGCCTGTGAAGTCAGTTCAGAAGAATTCTGAAGAATTGGGCTCAAAGAGCATATTGTGTTCTGCTTCTCCTCTCAGTCTGAGTTCTAATATCTGAAAATGGGAGAGGCTTTGCAGTGTCGACTCTGTGAGCCTGTGTGTGATGTGCTGAGACACTGCTCCCAAGGACTGCTGCAGGCAGCACACCCCTCTCCTGTTTGACTCATTTTGGGTTCTCAGACGTCAGGCTGCCCTAGCAAATGCCTCCCAGCAGCTCCAAGAGAGGCACTGGGAAATGTGCCATGCTCTGCTCTGCCTTGTCAGCGTGGGGAGACAGGAGTTGCAGTGACAGCAGCTTCTCCATGTGTGGCTCTGACAGTGCAGGTTGCTCTCAGGTTTGCTGACACCCTGGTACTGTGCTTTGCTTGCACCGAGTCCCTGCCTGCCTGGACATCCTGATGGGTAGGAGGAATGGAGTGGAGAAAAGTCCTCAGAAGAGAAAGGGGTTTGGACTGCACTTTTTGTCATGAAACTGTTTGCTAATGGCAAGAATATATTTTTTAAAAAAGTAATTAAAGGAAAAGAGCTTTATGCAGTGCTTTCTCATGCTGGCTGGTTTCTGTGCCAGTCCATGTCTTCTGTGAGCCACACTGAGCCACTGCCTGTTGTTGAACTGTGCCTGGGGTTTGCACCTGGGCACTGCCTGGGAATACTAAAGAACCTGCTGCTACCTCCTCTATACTGTCCCTTCTTCACCCCAACCTCCAGTTCTAAACTTCCACTATTCCATTTATTCCTGCTTGTACTCATTGTGTTATCCTGGTGTGCTCAGGTGTCACATGAATCCATCACAGGAAAGACAGTCCTCACTTCTGGAACCCAAAATCCAGCTTGTTCTGGCAGGGAAAGTAACCCACAGCTATAAGGGAGGGTTGATGTTTGAATTGTTATTTTTTTTTTTCCTATTTCAGCACATCTGTTTCCATCTTCCTCACCACTGTGTATGGACACACACCTCTGGCATTGCTGTCATCCAGATTTTATCTTCCCACATAAGACTTTTGTGGTAGATTTTCTTGGAGCTCCCTAGGAAGCCTAGTTTTATGTAGGAATATCCTATTCTATTGTCCTGATGAGAGATAAATAGCTTGGCAGAAACGTAGGAGGTGTATAAATGAAAACAGAAGTTTCCGAGTTCTCTAGAAATGAACACAATGTTCTTGCTCTGTTTTATAAAAGCCCAGTTTGCTTTCATTAAAAACACTACAGTTTTGCCTCTGATTTTAATGGGGGCAGGACCAAGGGCTGTGGGGAGCATGGGCAGAACTGTTTTCTTCCTGCAGACTTGCAAGCCTAAGGCACCTTGTTCTTCCTGGCTGCAGAACGCTGTGATGACTGGGGAGTGGACACCATGAAGCAGATCCAGATTTATGATGGGGAACCTGCCAAGATTAAATGCCCACTTTTTGAGACCTTCTTGAAGTACAACTATAGCACAGCCCATTCTGCTGGCTTAACCCTGATCTGGTACAGGATCGCGCAGGACCGGGATCTGGAGGAGCCCATTAATTACCGTCTCCCGGATAATCACATCAGTAAGGATAAAGACACCCTTTGGTTCTGGCCTGCCCTTCTCAATGACACTGGGAATTACACCTGCATGCTTAGGTAGGTTGTGTGGTGCAGTTTCTGTACATCTTCAGTGCAATCAAAGGACTTTAGTGGAGGTGGGAAAACGATGCTGTTAGCACCAGATCTTTGTGCGGAGACGACCATTTACATAAGCATTAGTGGGAAAAGAATGTTACAATTATAAGACTCCTCAGTGCTGAGCCAATTTACATGGCAATAATGCTTGGAGCCTTGCAGACACTAACGAGCGTGCCTCTCCTTGCCGCAAGTGTCCGTGAAAATATTATTGCTGAGCCCATGGCAAAATCCACAGGCACTCACCATTAAGAAGTGATCTGCATGTCTAGAGTAAAAATAGCTTCAGATGCAGGGGTAATGTTTTGACTGCACGCTAATTTGGCAAAGATTCATGAGATTCAGACTTCTAGGAAATTAAAAGTGTCTCTAACTGTGGTGCAAAATGAACATAGCATCTGCTGTGCACAAGAGCTCTTTTTGATCTTCCTCACATTGTCTTTTGTCTGTGTCTTTGACCTTATGATCTGCTTTAGCAGCAGGGGAGTGGATGTTGCTTGTTAGTAATCTTTATAGGCTTTTGTGAGCTTGTGTGGCCACCTCTGGTGGGGTTTTCTTTCCCATTTATAAATGAGTCAACTAAGGCTGTACATACCTCATCAGTGCTATGATGCTCATTATTGCAGATGTAATTTTTATTTCATTCCACTCCACTGCTATAGGAGTAAACAAGTTTCAACTAATCAGCCCTGTTCTCATCCACCCTTAGGAACACAACCTACTGCAGCAAAGTTGCTTTTCCCTTGGAGGTTGTTCCGAAGGACCAGCACTCTTGTGTGAGCCATTCCATAAAACCCACTGAGGAGATGTTCTACTTGGAGCATGCCAATCAGAAGATCACATGTCCAGATATTGATGGGTTTTACCCTGCCAGTGTGACACCAACTGTCAAGTGGTACCTGGTAAGAAGGGCTTACTTGGGCAGCAGGGGGATGCAGTGGTGCGTGTGAAAAAGCAATGGGTGGCATGACAGTCATGGAACTGCATTTCAGAGTCTCCCCAGTGACAATGTTGTTAATGAAGCTTTACTAATTTTAAGAGCTCTGCTCCAATTGAGTTCAAGGGTAAAACTGCTCTTGGAAAGGAATTGAGAGCTAACACTGAAGCTTTTTTTGACCAGCATGCACAAGCACAAAATACTCCTAGGAGGGATTTAGGTGGCTCAGTTCAGTTACGGGTGGTGTGCCTGACGTGCTGTGTGTGAGCCTCTCACTTCCCTGTAAAGGAAACTGCCATTCATGTTCCCTCTTCTTAAAAAAAAACCCCACCTGTAAATGAAATATGCATCCTTTCCAAAATCCTCTGAGGTCAGGAAATGGAGTTTGCAGGCTCTGCAAGGACAATGGGTGTCCTGTTCAACACAATTCATCAAACCTCTTTTCTGAAGACTGAGGCATCTCTACCCCACCCTCCATACATTTTTAATTATTAGACTGTCTCCAGCCATCCTCAGGCTCTTGCCTACAGAATTACTGCTCAATTTTATTAAATTTGATTTTACTCTTTCTCTCTAGGTGGATGCCTTTAGTCAGTAGAGAATAAGAAGTCTCAGGGGATGTAAAGTCTAAGAGTTATGGGAATAAATTCCTTAATAACATCCTGTAAAGTGCTTTTATATTTCTAGATACAAGATTTTGTATAAATGAATTTAATAACAAGGGAAGTTGTCAACAAATGTACCTGCTGATTAAAAAAAAAAAAAAAAGACCTAAAAGGAAAACTCCACCTCTAAAACTCTTAAATCCTTCAGGAAAAAGTTCCTCTTGTGTCAAGAGGAGCTGTTTCACTCCAGTAGTTTAAATGCTTTACTTGTATCGTTCATTGAAATTCACATCTCGGCAATCAATTAGCAGAATGAAACAAAAAGCCCCTTGGAAGTAATTTTTCAAGCAGCAAGTCATCCCATGCCTAATAAAAATCATTAAAAATGGTATATGACCCCTGTCTTAAACTATCCCATTAGGATGTATCTGATTTGGAAATGTACCATTCAAAAATAATCTCTTAGAAAATGTGCACATCTTTGGGTTTTATGACAATCAAGATGTTATCTGCATAACCTTTTTCTGAAAAGGGATCTCCAGCTTGGTATTTTGGCAGTTTTCCTGCCTCGCCTGACAGAAAGAGAGGAGTTATTAAGGTTTATGTACTACAGATTCTCGTTTGCTATTTGCAAATTTTGGGGCCTTATCCTCAGCTGAAGTCAGCCAGGAGAGCTTGATTAGTCCCGAAAGATGGACATCAATGGGGTACATGTCCTTTAGTCTTAGTATCCATTTGTGAATACGTCATCATTTTTTTCTTGTCACTTTTACTTTTTTTCTTCACTCTGCTGAGATGCTCACTTTGATTGCCAAGGTACTTCTGGATGAGAGAGCTCTCCTTTATAAAATTGTCTGTGTAAAAAGTGGGATAAAGCTATTAGGGTGATCTGCTTCATCACTTTATTTTCAAGGTGAACATAGAAGTCTATTCTCCAACATGCTCAAAGTTCATGGTATTTAGGTCTGACCTACATCATGATCCCAAGTGTCATATCAATAGTTTAAAACCGGATCTTTGTAGTAGGATTTAAACCAATATCTCTACTTTTGAATCCCAAACTCAAGTATTTTTCTGCCTGACTCCAGAACTGCAACTCGGTGGATGGCTTCTATGAGCGATATCCCCAAGGGCCCAGGCTTGTCATTGGCATTGTCCGCAGTGCGTATAAAGGGAATTACACTTGCATTGTGACATTCAAGGACCACGGAAGAACCTATAATCTCACCAGAACCATAAAGATGAAGGTGGTGGGTAAGAATGACTTGAAAATGTGCAAAATGCATGTGGGTAACTGCAGGAGTGGTAAAAACAGCTGGAAGAGTTTGTTGCAGGATCCATTTATGATTGTATTAAATCTGTGTTATCCAACTGACCTGGTGTATTTTTTCACGCTGGGGTCAGACTTGTGTGACTGCCCAGAACATACTGCAGAAGAGGTCTCTCCCACCACCATGTCAAATGCCCCAAACACAAAAAGAGAGTGGCCAGGCTGAGGCTGGTGAGGTTCAGCCCATGAGGTGGCCAGGGGTACCCTCTGCTGGCATGTGAATGCATAACCTTGGCACTCCTGCTCCTGGTCTCCTGTGCCCTTTGCTTGTCACTATTTGTGGGATTGTCACTTCATAAGCAACTTGTCTTCATCTTCTTGGAATCTCAAAGCCGTTTGTGCTGGGGTTGAGACTGCTAATCAGCCATGCAGAGCTCCAGGTACCCACTGCTTGGACATGTCCATCCCAGGCTCAGCCTACCTGCCAGGGAATTGTAGAGTTTAAAAATGTAGTGAGCTGTAGGATGCATTCTAAGTTCCACAGAAAGAGCTGTTTTAAGGACTGAAATGAATATTTGTGACACTAAATGATGTTTGTATTTTGTTTTTTAGAAGCGGTAGTAAAAAGAAACTGGTGCAGGTTATACCCTGTGGGAGATGAGAAGGTTATGCAGCTCTTCTGATGTGAGAGCCCCAAACTATCTTACCTAAACTTTGGGAGAGCCACAAAATCTGGATGTGGCCCTGAGTTTGGGGACTAGGATTACATTTATGTGTGCATGGAACTATGCAGCAGGAATGCATCATGAGTTAGATTGGGGAATGTGCAGTGAGGCGCGAGGGCATTGGGAGTGAGGCTGCAAGAATTCCAGGTTTTCATGAAATGTGGGTCCCCATGGGGGCTCTCTGTTGTCTCCTGCAGGATCTCCAAACAAGGCCTTGCCACCACAGTTCACCTCTCCAAATGAGAAAGTTCTGTATGAGCTGGAAGCAGGTAAAGTCCAACACTTGCAGCCTGCAGTGGGACAGGGAGACCTAGCCAGGCACAAAGCTCTCCCCTTCCACAGCATCCCCGGTGCTTTCCCTTGCAGAGCACACGAGCTGCCACGGCTTGCCTGGTAGACAGTGTGGGATGCCAGTTCTTGATGCCAGAATAGGAGAGCACAGCTTTAAAAGTTGATTTTTTTGCAAGCACAACTAAAGACAGGTATGGAGATACAAAACTGCAGCTGTAGAAGCAGATCAAATGGGGACACTCAACTGCATAGGAGAATTCCTGCAGGACCTGGTCTCAGCCCTGGCCCTGCTGTGGTTTGCTCCCATCCTCCCTCATTCACCCCTACAGTGGCTTCAGCCTTCTAGCCAATTCTTGCTCATCTCCCTTTTTTTTTGGCTGATGACTTCCTAATTAATGACAGCTCTCCTTCTGCTGACCTCGCAGCGCTGGCTAATGGGGTACCACACCCTTTCCCTCACCCCTTCCCCCACACAATCAGTTTTGCCTAATAGCTTTTTGGAGCAATTCCCTATATCAAATGGATTGTGTCCGATTACACTGCTGTAATAAATGTGGTGGCAATGATGATGATTCGCACCAGAGTCTTCACTTTAAAGAACAGCTCTTTCAGCTCAGAAGGTCAGATTTCATCCACAGTCTCCTGTAAGTTAAAATCAGATTACAGGCTGATCACCAAAATATTCACACTCCCAAGTCTGATCTTGAACAGAAGTCAAATTCCTGAAGAAGTGTTTCCAAACCAAAATGGTTTTGTGGAGCTTGATCCTTCACTTTATGGTATCTGTCCCCTGTGCACTGGGATTGATTAGCACTGCCCCACTTTCCAAGGAAGTGGTTGGCAAGGAGCATGTCCCTTTCCGTGGGGCCACTTGGTGCAATCAAGGAATTTGTAACACATTTGTGAAAGCAGGACATTTTTTTTTTTATTTACCTGTCTGTCACAAATCATCATGTCAGGGATGTTAAGCTGTTATTACAGTTTATGTCAGAAAGTGGATGTTGGCTTCATTACTTCCTGAAGGGAGGCAGAGCTCAGGCTGGTAGGATTTTGGAAAGCACTAAAGTAAAGGTGGTGCTGTTCCTGCACTGCAATACCTTTTCTCCTAGGAGATGGTTCTTTCTTTGCAGGTGATGACCTTATCCTGCCCTGTGAGGTTTTCTTCACATTCCTGAAGGACTCCCGAACTGAGGTGTGGTGGACCATAGACGGGAGAAACACAGATGACATCTCAGACCCCAAGATAAAAGTGACACAGAGGTAACATGTAATGTGAACCTTCATTTTTATCTAATCCCCTGGGACCTGTGTGGGTACAGGCATGTGACAGTCCTAATGGAATGTAAAGTCTCCCTGTTAATCAGAAGCCCCTGTGCTTGCACCATGCTATGATGAGCACCAGGACCTCCAAGGAGGAGGCCTCCAGACCTAGTCATATCTTACAGATGGATTTGAGGGAACTTTGTTAACCAGTTCACATCATCATTTGTTTGGGTCCTGGTAGTGATGCCAACAGCTGCTGTGTTGTGAGACTTATAAAACAGGGGCAGACAATTCTATTTAGAGAAGTGTTCCCAAATAGCATAAGGGATAAAAGTGTTTCAGAAAAGCAGAGGCTGAAAACAAAAATGTAATATTAGACATAGTATTGATTAGGAAAAGTAGAGATTCAATCACATAAAGAACACAACTGAGGATCAAAGTCCCATTTGCTGGATGCTGAATTTCACACGGAAGGCAGTCACTGCCCTAGCTGATTTGCAAACCAATGTAGAAAAAGGAAAGGCAAAAGGAAATAGTGTATCCTCATTTTGCAGACGGTCAATTCAGGCAGAGAGAGACAAAGTGACTCATCCAGGACTGCATAGGGAATGTGACGTGAGCTCTGAATCTTGAGTTTGTGAGATCTTCTTGTTCATAGGCAAGAGCTTCCATTTCCTCTAAAAGGCAATATGGCCCAGCTGCAATGAGAAAATTATGAGTGGTAAAATAAATATTAAGGAAAATCAGATAAAGGAATAGCTGCAGCTGTATTACAATCTGAAGTGTATATTGATTTATAAATCTCAAGTTATGTGTTTTGGCCACTTTAAAAGAAGAGGGTTTATCAGGGAAAGGAATATCTGTCACTAAAAACTTGCTGCACTTTCACAGGTGTAATGCTCTAGTTTTTCTCTTACAGTGAAATTACTAGAGATTTTGAAGACAAGACTCTGATAAGGACTCTAACAGTTGCAAAAGCCACGGCAGAGGAGCTGAAGCGGAATTACACTTGCTATGCCAGGAACGCCAAAGGCGAGGAGCACAGCCAGGCCATGGTGCGCATGAAAGGTACGAGACCTGCCGGGCAGGGCTGTATGGGTGCTAAATGTGAGCAAAAGCAGGCAGCACAGTGCCTGTGGAAAAGCAGGCAGCATAACTTTCTCAGACTCACCTGAGAAAGTGGCCTGGGAAGTCATAAGGAGGGATCAAAACAATCCTCAGAGATAGAAGATAGCCTTGCAGGTGCCGTTTGTCAGTCTCTTGTTTTCTTGCAAGAGAAGGTCGAGGGGTGGTGTACCCCACAGACCAGTGATGGTGATGTGTTAGTTCACGGACCAGTAAGAGTTTTACCTTTCTGTACTTTCATGTATCAGTCTATAAAAGAAGATCTGAGGTAATAAACCTTGCTCTCCTGTTAAACTCACAAGAGTTGTGTCTTACTGCCTTGCTCTTCCCAATATAGTGTGACAGGGCTGTGCTGGGAGCGTGCTTGTGGGGGCTCTTGCTGTTGCCTTGAGCCTTGCCCTGCAATTCAGTAAGGGAGCAAAGAATTCCATCAGGCCTTTCTGCCTAACACAGCCTGTTCTGTAGGCATTGCTGTCATACTGCACCACTTCTTGGAGCCAGGGATCAAAGGGCAATTCCATGGGCAAGTACCTCAGAAGAGAAAGGACAGATCTGTTGTCCTTATCCCATACATGTACCACAACTGAAGCAGAGCTGGGGGGACAGGCTGCTTGAAATTGTTTCAGGTTATTTGGTTGTGTGAGGGTTTTGCATGACACAATGGCTACCAGTTGGAATCCTCCAGAAGACAGTCTGCACTAGCTGGCTTTGCTCAGGGAGTGAGACAGTCACACTACAACACACTCTGGTTTTACTCCTTGCTGTCATGATGCTGCAGTCTAGATACAGCCACCTCACCATGGATGGTATAGACTGATTCAGCTCTGTTCTGTGTGGGCTTTTCTTACATCTTTTTTTCTTCAAATATTTGGTTCTTGTTTCCCAGACCCAACTCTCAGTAATAAAAGCTATGTGAGGCTTCCTGATTAAGGTGGATTTTTCTGCCTCCTTATCAGCCTCATCTAGAGCTTCAACACGTGGTTGTACTGCCAGACCTCCCCTCTCCCACGGGGAATGCTGCCATGCCTTGTGAAGCTTACACCAGACACCTTCTTCCCTCTAATCTGCATTATAAGTGTGGGAAGGCTCATGGAGGTCTTTACTGGAAGATCTTTTTCTTCTTGGTACTTGTCCTCCTTTTTTAGTTTCATTCCATTGAGACAAACCTTTTCTGGATTGTTAGGGAGGAACAATAGACCACACACATAACTAAGAAAGGCTGAAACCATCTGTCAGTGTGTTCATACTCCATATATAATTCTTCTGGGGTGATAATATTTGTACATGTAGTAGAAGTGAATCTGAAGTACTCAGATTCTTTCTCTATATATCAGTGCCTGAATACTGTTTTCTAATGGACTGATCTGTACTACCCTCCCTTTTCCTCCCCACATCTGTTCTTGGTTAGTTGACTGGGTTTGCTCTAAGCAGACGTGGTTACCCACCACTCCTTCATCCTGCTCTGTTCCACAGCAAACTCCAAGAACCATCCCTAGCTGCTGCTGGCAGAGCAACCTTATGCTAAGCTCAGTGCAGCCCATCCCACTGCACATCCTGCAGGAGCATTAGGCATGCCAGAACATAACCCCTCAGCACCAGGCTTACATTTTTAGCAAGCGGCTCTATATGTTGGCTCCCACTCTTTCATTACATTAGGTCATATACTTATCTTGCTTTTTCTGGATGATTTCCCTCTCCTTCTCATGTACCTCTGCTGCTCATCACCTAATGAATATTGATAAATGCCTTCCATTTTCAATTTTGTAATTCAGTTTTATTAGAAACTTACGAAATATTAGAATTTGGTGGTGTTTCCACTCCCTGTTGTTCTTTTATTGTGCAGTTTGCCAATTTGCACATCAACTGTTACCAAAAGAGTTGCCCAAGGATGCAGTTAGAAATTTTCTATCCTAAGTACAAAGAAACAGCAGTGGTGTGACAGACAGTGTATGAGTTGGAGGGGACCTGTGATGTTCTGGCTTGATGCCCACAGGTTGTCCTGTTTGTTTGCAAGCATTTCAGCTTTTCTGTAAGGAACTCTGATTCTTCTTTCATGGTAGAAAAGAGTCAGGCCATGGCTAGTTACATCCTGGGTGTCAGTCTGGGACAAGCCACGAGACCCATGTCTGATAGGGAGGGAGAACTGTAGCCATTGCTTTTATTTTGCTGCAGATGCTTTATCTGGATCTCTTAGAAGTCAGAGCAATTGTGTTGCCCCAATAGTTTGTTGATACTGCTGAGAAGGTCATGTTCATGTTTTGGCTTTGGACTGTGCAGGTTTTTTCCACCAACAGGTAATGACCTATAACCTGGCTACTTCCAGGCTCTCAGTCAGAGACAGAAGTCCAGCTATGGACTTGCTCTGCCAGCATAAGCAGACCTAATAACCCAGAATGGGGCTCCAGGGTGGCCAGCCATCACATGTTCTGTCAGAAAAGCCTTGGCTTGGCCACCTTACTCTGAAGGGTCAGCTTGACTCCTTGCTGTTCCTCTGTGGTATTTGGCTGCATGTGACACAAGCTTGCTCCTGTCCAGCTGAAGGTCCAAGCTGTTCTTTAAACCTGACCCCCTGTTTATTTTTGTACTCAGTTGTAGCACCCAAGTACACTGTGGAGCTGGCCTGTGGCCTGGGGGCCACCATCCTGCTCGTTGTGGTGCTCATAGTCGTCTATCACGTCTATTGGCTTGAAATGGTCCTCTTCTATCGGGCTCATTTTGGAACAGATGAAACCATTCTAGGTAAGGAGTTAAAAAGTTTTCATTTATTTATTCTGCTGCAGGCCAGGCCCTTTGTTTTCAAATAGGAATTTTCCTATAAGCTATTTTTAAACCTCTTCACAGCATAATAACATTTTGACCTTCCATTTCTCTATCTACATGCAGTTGTGTGGGTCATTGCTCATTAGAGCAAGAGGAGTCAGGCTTTTGGCTCAGGGAAAAGGAGAAAGAAGTCCTCTGTATTCTCTGCAGAGGTGGAAAATGGACATGCCAGGCTTCCTGGGGCCCTGCCCTGCTGATCTAGCTGCACCATCCAATCTAGATTGTTGAGATATGTCATCAGGTTTCAGTAAGTCCTTGGTTTCCCTGGTGACTCTATGTAAAGGATTCATTATCTGATCCAGAGTGATCTGCTTTAAAATGTGGTAAGGCATCCAGAAGGTTGGATGTGGAAATCACCATTCTGTCCTCAGTTCTTCCACAGCTTCCCTGTGTTACTGGGAGTTCATTGCTAGGGACTCTGAGGTGAGATTTCCTCCTCTGGAGGAGGAGGAGGGTGTTTGAGCCCTTGCAGCTTGTGGTGTGAACCTGCCACGGGGGTGCGGCAGCTCCCGGAGGGTGTAGGCAGGGTGCAAGTCTCTGTCTGGTGGGACTGCTTGTGCGGATAGACAGCAGCGAGAGGGAGCAGAATCAAAAATGTCAAAAGACAAAAGAAGCCTGGACAGAATGGGCTGGACTGGTGGAAATTGAGGTGCCTTAACCTGCAGTGCCTGGGCTCCAGGTGAGCCTTTCTACCTGCTTTTATTGCAAGTGAAAGGCCCAGCATGGGCAGTATCACGGGTGTCCCTTGTCCTGTTTGTGTCTCCCTGTGCTCCGCTGCCCAGACGGGAAGGAGTACGATGTGTACGTGTCCTACGCGCGCAACGCGGAGGAGGAGGAATTTGTGCTGCTGACGCTGCGGGGAGTCCTGGAGAACGAGTTCGGGTACAAGCTGTGTATCTTCGACAGAGACAGCCTCCCTGGGGGAAGTGAGTATCTCACAGGGGGCTGTGCTCCATGCACATCCTCTCTTTATTGTTCTTTGAGGTATTGATCACTGACTGCAACAAGCCTATCCAGATTATCTTTTGGGTTTTTTTGTTAATGAACTCTTTATGGTGTCTTCTAATGTTTTTGCTTCACATGTCAGTGTTGCAGATGCTCCAGGCCACCAAAAGGGCTGCTGTGGGGATGGTGGTTGGTTGTTTCAGTTGCTCTTTCCAGGAGTGATGTGCAGGAATGTCAGCAGGGGGAACCGGAAAACTGACCTTCGTGCACACCCTGTGAGCTGCCCAGAGCTCATCATCTTAAAAGATGGGATAAAGTCAAGACTAGAAGAGGCAGGGAAAGTGTTACACTGGATCAGCTCACAGAGGGTAACAGTGATCCTTGTAAAAACCAGGAGTGTCTACTTCAGGAAGGAGTGAATGGTGCTTGTTAGAAAAATAAACTAAATCAGTGAGAAGATAATGTGTCATTCATCCATGTTAATTAGTGAGCTTGTGTCTAATATGGCATACAATTAAGCTACAATTATTAAAAATACTTTGTTGAAGGTAGTGAGACTCATCTCTTCAGTAAGATGTAGTATCTTTTTACTGTTTTGAGATAAATCATAGAAGGTTCTGGACAAAGTGTCTGCTGCAGGGAGGCAGGGAATCATCAAGAGTGGAAGTTTGTGAAGCTATCTAGATACAGATACTTTCACAAAAGTTCCACAGCAAGGGCACAAATTTAGACAACACTCTTGATTTTCAGTTTCTTGGAGGCTGAGTTGGTTATGTGATATTAGAAGTTCAAAGTCTGAATTTCTGCCAGTGCAGACCACCCCACTTTGAATTAATGGGCTTTGGGTCAGGACCCCACTGGTGACAAAACCTGTGCTGGGAAAATCCACTGGGGGGTCCCTTTTGAGTAGGAGCAGGAGGGACTTCTGAATTCTCAGCCCACCTGCCTGACAAAGGGAGCAGAATCTCCTTGGGTTCCGTTACCTTTCTCTCCTAGATGGTTGCCAGAATCTAGGAGCACCTTGAAGTTTGAGAGTAAATATGTGTCTCAGTGGGATAGCTGCCAGCCTGGTGCTGTTCCTTCTTGAAGAGAGCCTGAATGACATGGCAGGGCACCCTCCAGGCTCAATTTGCTTGATGCCAATGTCAGGCTCAGAGCAGGTTTGTTATGAGCCATTTTCACCAGATGTCCATCTCCCTCCTGTTACCTCTGCTCCTTCTTGCCCTGTTCACTTTGGAGAGTGTAATTTTCCTCCCAGAACAACTCTTCTGGGCTCTCTGTCCTTCATCCTTAACCCCAAATGTTCCCATCTCTGTGCCCCTCAGTTCCTGCCAGCCTTAAGCCAGCTCCAGCCCTGCGAGCACTGCCGGAGTGGTTTGTCACTGCACTGCCGTCTGCAATGCTGCTGGGGCTTCCCTGGCGCTTCTTAGCGAGGATTTGACTAATCTCCTTCTCAAGAAAGCACGGCAGGCCAGGAAATAGCTTTTGGCAGCTGGTGTCATGCCTCCAGAGTGTGCATCTGTGTCATGGGTAGAGAGTTATGTTGTCCTTGATGAAGAAACAGTGGGAGATGGATTATCCCATGAGTTAGCTGACAGGAACTAATCAAGCATGCTTGACAGCTAAATGAAGTTGTCTGTCAGCATTATTTTGCTCTCCATTGTAATTTCTGACCAGTAAAGAGTGTGCCCTTATCAAGGAAGTGTGGGAGATCCTGCAGCAGAGAGTACAAGCTCCGGGATTCACAATTACAAGAGATTTTCACATTAATTACAAGAAGGTGGCCAAGGACAGTCTACCTGCAGATGTTAGAAAATTAAAGAGGATCCTCGGTTACCATGACATTTCTCCAGCTCAAAAGATGTCATTTTTTGGACACTTTACTAAAAGTCCTCAGAGTCAGTGCTAAAAATGCTCTAATCTGCTTTCATAGATGATGGCAGCAGGAATAGATGGATGAGTAACCAGAGTTAGGATGGTAGCATTACTAAAGCAAATTATCCCATGAGGACATTTGGGGAGGGTGTAAATACTTATTCTGTGTGAGGGAACTGGCAAGAGGAGTGAAGGGAGTATCCAGAGTCATTCTGGACATCTGCCTGTGGAGGATGTAAGCATAGATATTCAGGCTTCCTGAAACCTCTTCAGGATGAGTCTTTCTGCTGAGTTCATTCAGCCAGCAGTTTCCCTGCCCTGCTCCAGAGAGCCTCTTTTCCCCCTCTAACTGGAAGGAAGCTATATCTCAGCTGGAGATCAGCAGCCCTCTTGGTCACAAGGCATCCTCACAGCACTGGGTGGTGTCACTGATGTGTAGTACAGTGACTTTTAGGTGTAGCTCTCTTGGTTATCTCTGTGTAGCATGGGGAGGAGGAAATGCATCTATAGTTAGTCTGGAGCTGATGGAGAAGATGTCACTGTATGGGTAGGGGGAACCAGGAGGTCCCACCTGGAGTGACTTACAGAGTTGGGAAGCACTAGTGTAGTCTAGAGAGGGCCTCCAAGGGATTTATTGTCCCCTTCAAGAGGCACCTGGTGTCACAGCAGCAGGTCAGCAGCGTGTTCTTGGGCATCACTAACCACCTCAATGTTTCTTTCTCCCAGTTGTCACAGACGAAACCCTGAGCTTCATCCAGAAAAGCCGACGTCTGCTTGTTGTCCTGAGCCCCAACTACGTCTTGCAGGGGACACAGGCCCTGCTGGAGCTCAAGGCTGGCCTAGAGAATATGGCCTCCAAGGGCAACATCAAAGTCATTCTAGTGCAGTACAAAGCCATCAAGAAGAGCAAAGTGAAGGAGCTGAAGCAGGCCAAGGCGGCCTTGAATGTCATTAAATGGAAAGGCGAGAAATCCAAGTTCCCAAAGGGCAGGTTCTGGAAGCAGCTGCAAGTGGAAATGCCAGTGAAAAAAATTAGCAGGAGTTTAAGCCTTGATGGGTTAATGCATATCCCTGAAAAATGTTTGACACAATCAGAAAACAAACCAAAACACACTGCAAAAATCCACAAGTTAGGCCAGGGAGTGGGGAGGAACTCAAGGTTTTTTCCATGAAGGACCATGTCCCGAGCATTTCAGAGGATAGTCATGTTTTCCCTGCAGCTTTGATATTGCTCTGTCAGTAGAGAGACCAAAGATGCAAACACCTGCTCTCTGCAAATGTATGTCCTTGTTATCAACCACACAAGTCCTGGGCTTAAGATCTAAATTTGCTATCCAGGTGGGATGCATCCAGCACCTTGTGATAGCATGGCCAGTACTCCTAGATCCAGTTCCTCTGGGACCTTCATTAGCATCCAGGACAGAGCTTCTTTTCACTCCTAAGTGACTTCACTCCTTTCTGGTCCTCAGTCCCTGTTGCAGAGGCTGAGGAGCAATTTGCAGGGTGGCTCCAGTGTGGAGCCTTTCCTGCATGTCCCAGGTCTGTAGTCCCAATCACTTGCGGGATCACAGACTTCTGCAGCACTGTGAAGAGCGTAGGCTCTTAAAGCTCCTCATCTTTGCTCCCCAAATTTCCTTTGAAGCAAATGCATCCAGGTAGTTTGGTAATAGGAAATCGCTGTAACAGAAGCATTAAAAAAACCCCCCATAACTCTACTGGGTGCTATCTGTATTGTAGCACATCTAGTAACAAGTGGTCAGTCTCTGGGACTCTGCAGTCTCACAAGTACCCCAGATCCTTCAGAGCTGCTTGTAATCCAGGGAAATCTCTCATAAGTACAGGCCATGGAGCATATGAGAGATGTTTCTTTTTAGAGTAAACTCAGGGGCTTCACAAGCACTACAGGAAACCCCAGTGTACTACTGAACCTGCCTACTGTCTGCCACTGGCTGGGAGAAAGCACCATGCAGGTGCTTCCAAGGTCTTTGGGATGACACTGCATAGAAGTCCAACTCAGAAGGACACCCGATAAACTTACTTGAACTTCCTGAAAACTACTAGTTCTGTCCATGTAGGTAGGATTATGAGGGCAGGCTGAGAAAGCTGGGGGGGATGTTCTCCCTGGAGAAGGCTCCTGGGAGACCTTTTTGTGGCCTTTCAGCGCTGAAAGAGGGCTTATAAAAAAAGTGGGGACTGGATTTTTAGTAGGGCCTTTTGAAATTACCCCTTTAGGGACAAGGGCTAATGGTTTTAAACTAAAAGAGGGTAGATCCAGACTATATTTAAGGAGGACATATTTTACAGTGAAGGTGGTAGAACACTGGCACGAGTTGCCCAGGGAGGTGGTGGATGCTCCGTCCCTGGAAGCATTCAAGGCCAGGTTGGACAAGGCTCTGAGAAATCTGATCCATTGCATATGTCCCTGCTTATTGCAGGGAGGGTGGTCTTTGAAGGTTCTTCCCAACCCAAATTATTCTATGATTTTATGAAGACTCTGTCTTCAATACCTGGTTATGAACAACATTGCCATTTTTAATTCAGGGCTTAGGTTTAAACTAGCTTTGGCTTTACAAAGTAAGTCTCTCCCCATCTTGATTCCAGCCCAGAGCTGCAAAACAGAGGGTGTATCTCAGCTTCTGCAACACTTGTGCAAATCGGAAGCACAAAAACCTGCTGTGTAGGTGTCCTTGCTTCTGCAGGAGAGGGCCTGGTGAGTTAACCCCCATCACACAGCTGGTGCTGAGGAGGGGAGTTTCCTGTCTTATAGGACAGACCAAAGCACAGTGAGGCCCTGACATTGACTGGTGCTATGGTTCACAATGTTTTCAAATAAAACTTCAGGCTCTGGGGGTGTCTCCATACTCCTGCAGCTCCTAGTGCAAGGATCTGCCCACTTAATTATGGAGTTAAGTATTACATGCACCAAGTGCATGCTACTTTTTATTGGTGATGGTTTTGCTCCTGAGTCACCTTTGGCTCATGCATTTGTTCTGTTGGTGTCCAGTGGGTGAAGCATAAGCATTCATAATGGCACTGTAAAAGCACTACAGTTAGGAGTCTATGCACTATTCACCCAGCAGAATTGGGAGCTTTGAGAGCATTCCAGTAAAAAGCCCAGCCTTAAAGGGGACTGAATCCTGGTGTCAGAGAAACCTTGTCCTTAGCATTTTATGATTAATAATGTTATTCCAGGGCTGCAGGGAGCTACAGCCCCCCATGCCCTTAGTCATGTACTGTATGTTGTGTTTAGGAATGGTACGCCACAATTCAGTGCTCCCCCTGAAGCAATGTGCCCTCTTCTTTTTTCTCCTCTTCCTCCCCTGCAGAGGACGGGAGAGGGAATTGAAAGCACAGAAGGTAAAGATCCCTCCATGAGATAAGAAAAAATTATTTGCTGCAAACAGGAATGAAATAAAAAAATTAACAACAATACTGGTGATAGAGGGTAAAAGAAATGAATGATTCCCATGGAAAAAAACCCTGACAATTGACCATATCCTTCTTCTGCACTGCACTGGCCCAGCTGTGCTGTGCTGGGATCCTTTCTCTCCAAAAGAGACCCCCTTCCCCCAACCTTTGCAAATGCAAGGTGGTTTAGAATAATGTCAGTGATTCTATAGGACATGCCTCCTCCTGACTACTGCAAAAACTAACCCTGTCCTGGCTGGAACCAGGACACTGTACAAATGTGTAACAAATAGGGCTTCTTTCTTACTGCCTTCTTCATCTTCCCCCCCCCAAGTAAGCTTTGATTTAAGCATGTAAAATTGCAGTCAGCTTCACTGGAGGCAGTGGAGCTTGTCATCTGCTCAGAGGTGCTTAAAAGTTTTGTTATGAGCTTTTCTACTGTGGTTGTCTGTGGAGGGATAGAGCTGCTTCCCACACTCCAGAAAACCTAATTTATAAGAGATAGCACCCAAACCCCTGCTTGGCTTTGTGAACTCATTGCAACCCTGTCATTGTGCCCAGCTTCACCTTTTTGTTTGTGTTTTAAGCATCTCTCTAATCAGCTGCCAGATCTGCAAGCAGACGGAAGGCCCTGAGGCCAAAGCAGAGCTGTGTTAGATTCCTACATGATTTTTAAAAGATTGACTCCCAAATACTCATAAATAGAATTGACATCCCAGACCTCACTACATCACATCTCACTTTTGACTGAGTTACCAAGAGAATTTATGCGGATTGTTATCTTGAAAACTAAGCCTCCTGATCTTGTTTTCATAATTTTAGTTACTTCACCAGGAAAGTAACTATAAACATAAATTGTTTATACATTCCTTCTAAGAAACATCCTTTGATGGACATTTCGCATGACCAGTGTGATTAGGAAGGTGGTAACTTAATTATCCAATCCCTGGTCATAGTCGAGAATCTATAAATACTGGAGTCAGAAAATAAAGTTCTGGATCAGGTTCCTCTCACCCAGGAGCTTTACCACTGGCCTTGCTGGGGTTTTTCAGGCCAGGGGTAAAGCCCAGTCCCAACTCTAAAGCAAATCTGCAAGCACCTTAGATACGCCTGCCATTTCATTCTATGCCACATGCGGTTTCCACTGTGTGATTCTGTCACAGCATCCATCTGAATCAGTTAATTCATTTGAATTTCTGTGCACTAACCTAACATTTATCAATATGCAGCTCATGCAAAGTTCCTCATTGTTTTTTCATCAGGAAACAGCGTGGCACAAATTGGAAAAAATATCTTCCCTTCCCGTTCTGTTGGATGTTGTACAGCTGTTTCAGAGTTCTCCTTTTTCTGTATGTTTTTGCCTTTGTGTGATTTGGTCTGTGAAGTGTCAGTATTATTTTATTTTGCTTTTCAATAAAACATTTTCATTTTTACATTTCAGTCCTTGTGCATTTCTCATAAGTACCATCTTCCCATTACGTCTGCGAAATGTTGTTAAAGAAAGACGATTGTGTGTATCCCAAGCATCAAGATCATTTGGGACTGCTTCTTGGAACGGGACATTTTCCTGGTTGTTTCATGCTGTGCCTGCAGAGGCACCTGAGTTCCAAGGGCCATCCAAGCAGAAACACAGTGACACACAGCAGTCAGATATCTCACATCAGTGGACCCACACACATACAGAAAGTCTCTGATCTGAAGGGTGCTCACTTGGCAATCACAAGACAGAAAGATGGGAAGACAACATCATCTCTTTGCTTTAAAGATCAAATCAGAATCTTAGAAATCTGCCCAAACCACAGAAATCAAACTCACTCTTAGGCTACTTTGCCTATCGGCTTCTAGGTTCAGTCAGCTTCATATTTTCTCATCCAAGTCACTTTCTTGCCCATTTCCCATGTTTGCCTGCCTGCAGGTAAGTTGAGAGACAGCCCAGCACTTCCAGACCACTAGCAAAATGAGTTCCTGTGACTATCTATGGATTTGAGGTCTATGGGTGTGGGATCTGTGACCATAATCCTTATAATCTGTTACATCTTTGGGGTGCATTGGGGAGACACAAGTAAACCAATAAAAATATGCAGCGTCTTTTGCAAACATTTAGTAAGGATGGGAGGTTTTTTAGTAAAAAGCAGATAACCAAGAGTATTGAATCCCCAAGCCCCTTCAGTGTTATTGCTGCCTGTCCCATCCAGTGCTGTTTCACTGGAAGATCCTACCTGCACATAATTCCTGAGCTGGGTAAACATTGCAAACTGAACATCCCAAGGTATCCTGGTCAGCCAAGCCTAAATGCATCACTTTCTCGAAATCAAATGTATCTTTGGAAATTTGAACACCTTCCCTGACAAAAAAAAGTGTCAAAAAAAGGAGTCTCAAAAAAAATGAGTCTCAAAAAAAAAGTCTCAAAAAGTGTTGCAAATTCAAAATTGATAAAAGAAAACCAGCACTGTCACCTCAATCAAAACATTTCACTTCTGCAGCATCAGAGTCATTCATGTTAATTGAACCTGGGCTTTTTGAGCAGGCAGGTAGAATAGGTGACCTCCCAGGGGCTGCTCCTGCTTACATTTTGCTGTGGTTCTGTGATTCCAGTTTCAAAAAGAAAGACCTTTCAAACCAGCAAAAGAGATTTTCTTTCACAAACTGTTGAAGCCTGACTGTTTTCAAAATAGATTTCAATCAGTTGTAGAAAAGTTTGAATGAGGTCTGGACTTAGTAAATTGGCGATTGCTGCCAATTCTCTATGCCTTTGAAATAGGGTGGCAAAAACATGTCATGGTGCTCAGTGACAATTCTGACAGAACTGACTATCATCTACTTTTGGTTTCAATGAAGCAGTGATTTCCTGTGTGTGTTGGGGGTAAAAATCTCCCCATACTTTTTATACAAGAAAAAAGCCCCTAAAAATAATTTGATTTTAATTCCAGTATTTTGTTAACCAAATAGTGCCCTACTTTCTCCATTAGGATATTACTGGATGATAATTTTTCCTATCTTGGTCTCCAAATAATCTAGTGACAATGAGTTTTACAACTAGTCATACTTCTTTGAAAAGTATTGCTCTGTACAATATTGAAATAAGGTGCATCCAGGTGCAACACAGTACACCTTCTGCTGTGAGATAAGAGACAGCCAAGTGCTGGGAGAATTAAGAGGCATTGCCATTGCAGAGAAGGAACAGTATTTTTATTCATATGAAAGACCAGTGTTCCACTGTTAGGGAGAGAGTCTCCAGCCTGAGGAAGAAATGGCAGAAGGGAAGCAGGAGGTATGTCTTCTTCCCAGAACAGCTCTTTGAAAGACATTCCTACAGGCAGATTTTTCTGTCTGAATTTGCAAGAGCTCTTACTCTAATGATCCTTTTCCTGCTTGAACACCAGTTTGTCCTTGGAGTCCCTCTCATCTCAGGCACCAGCACTTAGTAAGTGTATGGGTTTTTAAAATTTTTTACAGTTTTCTAACTCAGCTTTTGTTAAATTGCTGAGTGCCACGCTGTACAGTTCCCATCCTTTCCACTGCTCACCCTTTAGCCGCTACACCTTCAAAAGGCATCCCAAGCCACAGGTAGAAGTCCAAGGACATCCTTCAGGTTTGCTGCTTTTCAAAATTCGTAATAAATGAGATGTTGCTCTTGCCTGGTATCATTCCAGCTAAGCTTCTTGCTAAGCTTTACAACTTGCAATTAATCCCAAGAAATGCTTTGAAGGACAGTATTTCCACCCCCCATGATGCCTAGGGGAACCAGTGGAGGGGTTTAAGGCTGACATTTTTGCTTTCTAAATTTGGAGGTTTCTACTTAAAGATGAGTGTGATGGGGGGAGATGGGTCAGCCCCTGCAGTTCAGGCTGGGGCAGGATGACACCATTGCTTTGATCCCCTGATGCAAAGAGTTGCTCAAGCTGTGGGCAGGTGGTTCCAAACAAGACCCACCCTTTATCAAATGCCCGCACTTCCCTGGGCACGACTGATGCTGTGCAGGGCAGAAGTCAGAATACAGTCACGGCATATCGTGGCCTCTCATTTACTGCCTCAGCCTTCTCAGAAGCCCACTTCACAGCAAAAATGCTGCCAGCAGGAGTGTGGGCAGGTCAAAAGTCACAGCGCTTGTGCCAGGTTCCTCTGTGGGAAGAGGGATCTGTGCAGGTATGCCACCAAACACCTTCTTTGGCTTTTCTCTCCCCACTCCCTTCTCCTTGTGCACCCCAATTCCTCTGCCCTTGTGCTCTTAGATACCACTGAAGCCGTGTTCGACTTCATCCAGAGGAGCCGCAGGATGATCGTTGTTCTGAGTCCCGATTACTTGACAGAGAAGAGCATCAGCCTCCTGGAGTTCAAGCTGGGCATCATGTGCCAGAACGCCATAGCCACCAAGCTCATCGTGGTGGAGTACAGGCCGCTGCAGTGCACCCACCCCAGCATTCTCCAGCTGAAGGAATCCGTCTCCTTCGTCACCTGGAAGGGGGAGAAGTCCAAGCGCTCCGGCTCCCAGTTCTGGAAGGCGTTGCGGCTGGCCCTGCCGCTGCGCAGCCTGAGCGCCAGCGCTGGCTGGAACGAGAGCTGCTCCTCACAGTCGGACATCAGCCTGGACCCCGTCCAGAGGAGAAGGAGCCGGTTGAAAGGGCAGCCCGACCCACGGGGAGCCACTCCCGTGACTCTCGCTCACGGAGGGACGGCCTCGGCCTCCGAGTCAAAGGCCAAACACCGAGCCAAGCACTTCCTGACGTGCCGGTGTTGTGGGACCTACTGCAATGGCAGCAGCAGACACAAGCGGCAGGCGGTGGCTGAGCCCAGGTGGGACAGTCACCTCTGCAGCCCGGACTCGGGCAGGCCCCTGGCACAGGGCCTTCAGGGCAGGCCTCGAGCCGAGCCCCCGGCGGCGCAGGCCCCTGCTCTCGCCCTGTGCCATTACAGTGACCTGTCAAACAACAATGACTTCTATGTGCTTTAGCCCAAGGGCTGAAGCGCTGCTGCTGCTGCTGGGCCAGTGAAAGAAACTCACTGCGGCCTCAGGATATTTTTACCGTGTCACAGGCTGGCACGGTGCCATTAAGTGTCAGTCCCATGCCTGCATGGGGGACTGCGGCAATGTCACTGCTGGTGACCTGAGCCAGGGACCTGCAGCCGTGCACAGAGCAGCATGTACTGCAGGAGCCCCACAGGCTGGGGGATTCCTGCCCGGCTGCTTCTCCCGAATTTAAATTGCAGAGTGGAGCTGAAAATGTGTTTCTCTGGCGTTGCTTTTCCCACTCCGTGGCTGTGTTTGCAGCAGGACTGCTGTTGGGGTTGGGTGCAGGAGGGCAGGTCCCCAGCTGGGGCCTGGGAGGGAGGGAGCAGTGAGAAGCCATCCTGCTGGCAGTAACCTCTGGAGACAGGAGCCTGCATTTTGCAAAGGCTTAAACTTTGCTAATGAGGGTGATGGGAGCCCCTGCCACTGCAGTTATCCACTGTGGTCTAAAAGAACTTGCTCAACAGTTTTAAGACAAGCCCCTTCCCTCTAAATAAAATTGATTTCTTTAATCTGCTGTTGTAAAAAGTTCCATAGGAGCTGGTAAGTGCTGTAGCATTGTTCACCAGGTTCCTGGAGATTTGGTTTGCCCGAGCTGGCTGAGGTCCCCTCCTGTTCCCAGAGCTTGCAGTGGGCTCCTGGGCTTGGTCGCTATCCCCGCTTCACTGTGTGATGAATTTGTTCTGTCACTTGAATGGCCTTCCATGCAGCAGGAAAGAAAACCATTACAGGGAATATGATTAAAAAAATTCTCTGAGTAGTCAGTGAGCTCAGGGGTAGGAGCAAGACCTCAAACACTCACAGAAAACCTCTGGCGCTGAATCTGAGGGGTCAAAACTCAACCACACTTCATTAAATAACCAAAAG